ATATGCAAGCTAATATGTGTTGTATAAATTTCATTCGCATATATTTTATTTAGTTCGCTCAAATTAGTTTATGTAAGGTTGGTACTAAAACGAAACTACCGTGTATAAGCATAGGCTTCCCTCCCGCACTGCCTGCCCCGCAAGAGATGTATCGGATCTCCTTAAAATGAGCCGTCATTTCGTGAAATCGATTATGGAATTTAGAAGTTATGACAATTTCAAGATGGCGTCTTTCTTACTGGCGTTGCTATGGCAATAACAAAAAAAGTTCAAACAAAACTTATGAAGGGTTTAACAGTGTATCTAAAAAGTGTTGAAAAACTTAGGTTATATAAGCGAAATTTAGAAAAAACGACATTTTTCTTTAAGACTATAGCAGTTGCTCCCTCTAGCGGTGAAGTTACAAACTCGAACATATTTTAAGGCAAGGTGTTTGGTAAAAATCAAGCAATTTCAAAATTAATCTGTCGAAGCCACGTGAAATTATAGAACTCGTTATATCACGAATAACCACAGCGTGGCATGTATCTCTTGATCTAGATTGCTCTGCATTATCTGACGAAATTGCACGCGAAAACGTACCTAGGGTTTATTTTATTAATCCTCTAGCAAGTACCCTAGCTAGGAGGACTGTATTTCGATTCCCCCAAGCTTGTCTAGACTAAAAGAAAACTAATCCCAGTTCAAACTTTCCCCATTTAATAAACGCGGAGACATTTTCATGAAAATGCAACGCCTGGTTGAGATAATATTCCCACTGTTTAAGTGTAAAGAATATTAGTCTAGCAACAGAAGTGCAAAAGTTGCAACTCTTTTGCATAAAACTGACCTAAATATTTAACTTAGTAAATACGACGGAACTTTAAAAGAATAGTTATTTCAAGTTTAAATTTAAAAAGCACGAACGGCTTGGTTAAAAACACAAGCAAAGCGAGAGTTTTTAAAAAGCTGCGTAGCGAGTTTTATCTTCGATTATGCAAATTCTTCTGCGATATGGTCAGTTTTTCATGAATATGAAAGTAACTATATTGATTTTTGTATATTTGGCGTTGTAAAATAGTTCAATAAAATGGTAAATGAAAAACTTGTTTGCACATGCTCATACAAAATCCATGTTTTTCCACTGGAAATTACTTATACAGGGTGTCCCTGAAAATGATGGACAACGCTTGACCACAGGTTCCTTGGATGAAAACAAGACTATTTAGCCTAACTTACCTATATACAAAAGTGCACGCCTACTGAGATATAGCCTTCTTCTAAATATAAAACAGATAACCTAGTTTTTTTCAAATAATTTGAAAACTGTTTTTCTTCGAAATTTCAAATTTGGTAAACATATTTTTTTATATAAGGGCAATGTAAATATAAAATTTGGTGAGAATACATATACAAGATGTTCTCTTTCTAGTGCCTGTGCGCCACTGGCTATCCGTATCTTTTTTGTATGTACGCCAATGACGACAGAATTTATATTTTAAAAAATAAGCACTATTTTAGAAGATTTTTTGCCTTTTACAAAATTTTGATATCGTTTATGGATTTCGAGTACAATTGGCATTTTTTTACACATTAAATAAAATAAAATCAATTTAAGATAAACAGAACATTCTAGTACGAGGTGCCATATAACAGAGAAACAAATTCATAATAATAATTAAAAGCTTCTGTGTCAAGCTAGCTGTGATTTAATTTTAGCTTACTTTGTTTTTTATTGCAATTTATACTTTTGCTGAACAAACTGATATGATAGTAGTTTTGAGTTATTGTGAAGGAAATTGTTGTGCTACTGTTCGAACATATGCTGAAAGATTTCTTAATCGAAGAACTCCAAATCACAAAACATTTGCTAACGCGGAGAGACGCCTTCGGGAAACAGGACGTTTTTTACCTGTAACATTAAATCGTTGATAATGTACGGCCGGAATTATTCAGCTGGAGGAACAAATTTTGGAAAGGGTCGAAGAAATTCCTCAAGTAAATAAAAGGCGTTTAGTGGCAGAGGTTGGCTTTCAAAAAGTTCATTTAATAGAGTATTAAAAGACCAGTTATTATAGGTTACAGGTATTACAGGGTACAAGTAGGTATTACAGGTTGTTAAAGGTCTAACAAGTGGATAGGTAGAGGAAATAATGCCCCATTAAAATGGCCACCTCGATCCCCGGACCTAAACCCATGTAATTATTTCATTTGGGGAGCGTTGAGGACCACAGTTTAAAATAACTTTTCAGTAAATACAGAACACGAATATAGGAAAGAATACCACATGAAATTAATGTCATGAGAGGTAATGTGCAATTATTGGATAATTTCTAATTTTCGAAGAAATAATGTTTGCGTTTAAGAACAAGAAAGTAACTTTGAGCATTTATTGTAATATTATTTTAATGTGATTACAAATATCAGTTTATTTAAAATGTTAATGTTGACTCTCTTACATTATTAGTTGATACTGTTTATTTAAAATATTAGTGTTAATTTTTATTTTATTGATTGATAATACTAATACCAAAAAAGATATTTTTTTAATGTGACGTTTTTTCATTATTATTCTCTGCTTTGAGGCTGCAGTTATAAATTATTTTTTATAAATCGGAATTCTTGCCTATATTTAATGTATAAAAAATGCGAATTTTACTCGAAATCCATAAATGATATCGAAATTTTGTAAGAGCAAAGAAATCTTCTAAAATGGTGCTTATTTTTAAAAATATCAATTTTATCGTGATTGGCATACACACAAAATGTTACGGGACAGATAGTGGCGCACAGCCACTAGAAATAGAACATCCTATATATGTATTCTCTCCAAATTCTATGTTTACCTTGCCCTTATATAAAAAAATAAGTGTACCCAATTTGAAGTTTCTAAGAAAAATAGTTTTCAAATTATCTGAAAAAAAATAGGTTATCTATTCTATATTTAGAAGGCACTTTTGTATATAGGTAAGTTAGGCTAAATAGTCTTGTATTCATCCAAGGAACCTGTGGTCAAGCGTTGTCCATCCTTTTCAGGGACACCATGTACAAAAAAACTGGCACTTTTGTCACGATCGTAGATAAAAATTATTTTTTCTACAAAACTGTTAAAAGTGGGCTTTTTAATTGTCATTTTTGATGTGAAAATGACATTTTTAACATCAAAAATGACAATTAAAAAGCCCACTTTTAACAGTTTTGTAGAAAAAATAGTGTATGATATACGTGTTAAAAGTGATTTTATTTTGTTCGTGAAGTTAAAAAACTCGCTACGCTTGTTTTTTAATCATCTTCACTCACAAAATAAAATCTTACTTTTAACAAGTATATCATAAATAATATAATAAAATCTTACTTTTAACACGTATATCATAAATAGCTATTTTCTTTTTGACACGCGTGTTAAAAGTAAGTTACTTTTAACACTAGTGTTAAAATTAAATCAAAGTTTATTTAAATTTTGTTTTGAAAATTAATAAAACGTTTTAACAAACACATGAACAACTTTTTATTTTAAATAAGTACAAACCAACATTTTAACTAGTTATTACTATTAACATTTATAGTAAAATTAGAACAATTTGAAATTGTAATTCCCTGCGGAGTCATCATACTTAAGTTGGTTTTACTGTCAACATGTGTGACACATCTATTTTCTGTAGAAATACTACTGGTAGTACTGGTGGTCTTGCTAGTAGTTGCAGCAGTAGGAAGTATTTGGCACGCAATTTCCTTCTTCTGTTCCAGTGAATTTTCAATGTAGCCTTCAGCTACCGTCGAAGATTTCCATCCTCCATGTCTCTTGATGGTAGTAAGATTTGCACCAGAATCTGCTAACAATGTCGCCGATGAACGACGAAAACAGTGTCCGGTGTAGAGTTGAGGATTTGGTAGATTCAAGAACTCTGCAATGTCGGCAGGCATTTTACCAAACATGTTAATTCCGACTGGATTCTTCACACATTTATTCTTCATATATTTAAGAAAAAGTCGTCTATGGTCAGCGTTGGGTGGCCGGAGTGCCATATACTTTCTAAAAAAGTTTAAATAGAATTCACCAACAACACTGAAAGTCCGAGGCACTTTCGTTTTAGTATCTGGTATGGTCACAACAACCGAAGTGCCCAAATATTCGATATTGTCGATAATCATCTGACACAATTCCTCCCGGCGACACGCCCGAAGACACCCACTATTGCTGCGACTTTCATCATCAGATACTTTTCGTCTTCTGTTTCTGTGAGAAATTTGTCGATATGCGTCTTCGTCAAAACTTTTGACTTTTTTGCTTGATATCCTTCACCCTTCCGTTTTAAAAAAGCAATAAATTTATAATGTTTGCTTATATATTGATCTTGCTTTATTTTTAACATAGTTTTGATCATGGAATAATTTGACCACAGCGTTGACGATTTCCATATCTTGGCTTTTTCCTCAAAATATGCCAGTAAAACACTTTCGTTACATTTCCCAGGGACCTTTTTAACGTTGCACCATTCCGAAAAGCGTCTATAAGCGATTTCGTACTGTTCCTTTTGATTTCGCCGGCAATAATTCCAATGTTGCTCGACTGGCGGCTTCTTCGATTTCAGCAGGGATGGATTCGTTACGCTCATTATCGAGATTATTCATTATACTTATAATATTACTAGAAAATGCTGTCAATATTTTTGCGTTTTTTCCGTAACTAACAACAGCACTGGTTGCTACGAAAATTTTGGTTCATAAACACTGCGATCTGTGTGGTATTTTTTGATTTCTTATTTTTATTGAGTTTAAAGTTCTTCCGACTGTTTTGTAGAAAAAATAGTGTATGACATACGTGTTAAAAGTGATTTTATTTTGTTCGTGAAGTTAAAAAACTCGCTACGCTCGTTTTTTAATCATTTTCACTCACAAAATAAAATCTTACTTTTAACACGTATATCATAAATAGCTATTGTTTATGATGGTTAAAAAAATAATGAATGCGCCAGCAAAGTATGTGGCAAAAGATCGGTTAGGCAGAAGTAATGACTTACCGTTGCGCGTTCATTCCATCTGGGATCGCCCCCGTGGCAGTTTCTGGTCTCCCATTTTCTGCTTTGCTGTTCTCTGCCTTGCTCCCACTGAAATAGAACATTACTTTTAACCAAATATCTTTGAATATATTGTTGAAACTTAGTTTTGAAATGACACGGTAAATGGTATAATAATAAATAATTATTAGCACTTTAATATTCTTAAGTGAAGGTAGGCAAGATTGTTAAAATCTGTACGAAAATTGTTACAAATAAGATCTGGAATCAGTTGTGTTAGTTGCAAAAGTATTGTAATGTATAACAAGTGAGAGTAAAAGAATAAAATGAGTGCGCTATCAATATCCTGTTGAAACGAGTTCCCAAATAACAGAGGTTGGAAAGTCATCTCCACTCTTTTAAGTGTTCGGATAGTCATTTGTTTAACAGAAATCTATTTAAGAACTGTCAGAAATTCCCAGTCAGTTGAGTTTCAGCCATAAGGGTGGGGAGGTGGGAATAAAGTTCAAATCAATTAAGAAAGTTAGCAAGAAAAAATCTGGAAGGAAATTGTATCCCAGTTAGCTGTCAAAAGTTTCTAACAAAAATTAGGGGAATTCACATAACATCATTACGAAGATTCGATCATTCATTGGAAAATACCAGGCACATCAAGATACCAGGCGGCGCAAACAAGTACCAGGCAAATTAAGATAGTGAGAGGCACAAAGAAGATTGGAAGGAAATAAAGGGAACTTAAACTAGTGAGTTAAACAAGAAAATACAAATATGTAAAAGACAGGTTTTAGCTAGAGGTTTGGGAAAGTAGGTCTTTTTTTCGCTAGCACGACTCAATAATTCGTTAACTATTTTGTTTAAATAAAATGATAAATACACTCACACGCAAAAAATTAAAGCAACAGAAAAATTTCCAAATTTTTTAGTGATTTTTAAAAGGCTGTATCATCGTGAATAACGGTCGTATCGAGAAAATAAAAATTCTGAGCTTGATTCCAGTTTTGAAATCTTGAGATGAAAAATTTTTTTGAGCATCACTCACGGCACAGTCCAAAGAAATAGTGCAAGGCAAAATTTATTTTTTCAAAACCTCCCATGGACAAAAATTTTTTTGGCATAATCATTGCCAGGCCCTGATTTCTCAATTTGGAAGGTGGGTTTTGGAAACTTGAATCAATCCTCTTCAAGGGCATTTTGGTATGTTTGAGATTTTTTGTTATAGTCAGTTTTAATTTGAAAAAGTGCAAGTAAGTTTTTTTTTAGTTCAATACATGCCCATGAGGCCAGTAAATTTTGAAATCGATCTGTCGAACCGTTTTCATTTCTTGATTGGTCAGTTTTAAAAAAAAATTAAAGAAGTTTTTTGCACATTTTTAAATTAATACTGAATATATATTTTTTTCCAATACACCAAAAGGCTCTTGCAGAGGATTGATTGAAATTTCCAAAACCCACCTTCCCTTCTCTGTAGTATCATTAATTCAAGAGATATCGATGACCAAGGAAAAAGGTGACTTTCTCAGTGAGAAATAATCGTACAGAAAATTAAAAAAATAAATTGAAGCTAATGAATCAGGCTAAATGACTGGCATTGATTGAGCCAGAAAAAAAATTTCTGTGCCCATGGGCAGTTTTGAAAAAAAATTGCCTTGCACTATTTCTTTTGATTGTGCCGAGTGATGCTCAAACAAATTTTTTCATCTCAAGATTTCAAAACTAGAATCTTCAAGCTTCAAGATGCTTTATTTATTTTTTCGACACGACAATTCACAAACTTACAACCTTTCAAAAATCACTAAAAAAATTGGAAATTTTGTGCTCTCTTAATTTTTTTACAGAGTTTATAAAAAAGATAAAATAGTAATAAATTTAAAAATATCTTGAGTTTTTTTGTCTGGGAAAATTTGCTTCTGAGCAAGAGTCTGCCTGAGAATTGTTTTGTCTTGGATAAAAACGGAAAAAACTATTTTTATTGCTTTTCCCCATCTCCACTAATAGGCTCTTGATTATAGGAATTTAAAAGAAACTATGACATTCAAGATATTTTATTACATGAATCATTCGAATGGTCATTTTAGATGAAAAAACCGCGGAGTACTATTAAATTAGAGGGTGTAAAGTGGAGATAGGAGTGAAAATGCACTCCTCCCAGTTTTTTTAATGTAGCTCGAAAACGAAGCAAAATTTCGCTATAGTTCATAGGAAAAATTATTTAGAATTTTTTTTTTAGTAGAAGTAGGCAAAGAAAATTGCTGTACAAAAAAACTAGATGAAATTCCCTTCAAAATGATGCGTTTTCAAAAGTTTTGGACTAATATTGACTGAATTATATCCGGTCAAACTTAAATATTTTTTAGATTTTCGTCGTTTTTAACATAATAATGATTACAATTCTTATTATTTTTACAAATTGGTTCTTTATTTAATAAAAAATTATTTCAAATGTTTTATTTGTTAATAATAAATAAAGATTTTCACAATTTAGTCAAAAAAGTATAGTTCATAGGAAAAATTGAATTTCCCATCGAAATGTCTTATTTAAAAACTTTAAAAAAAAAATTATGCAAAAAATCGTTAATAAACAATTGTAAATAAAGCAAAAAATAAGATTTTTGGATTTTTTTACTTTCTTAATGAAGTAATTTAGTAAAATCTTGAGAATTTAAGTACAATAAAGTTTATTAATAATGTATATACAGTGTGTCCACGGATGGAGTTAACAAGAGGAGAAACTCTTTTGTTTCTGACTTTATCGAAAAATGTCACTCTTTATAAAAAGTTCTGCTCCTCGAAAAAAATTCAAATTAGAGGGTTGAAATTGAAGATGGGGGTGAAAATTCACTTTTGCAGTTTTTTAAATATAGCATGAAAACAAAGAAAATTTCGGTATAGTTTATAGGAAAAATTTTGTAGAGAATTGAATTTCCCATCGAAATGGTTTATTTGAAAAATCTTAAAGGAAAATTTTGTGCAAAAAATCGTTAATAAACCATTTTAAAAAAGCAAAAAATAAGATTTTTTGATTTTTTATATTTTTTTAATAAAATAATTTAGTAAAAACTTGAGAATTTAAGTACAATAAAGTTTATTAATAATGTATATATACAGTGTGGAGTTGACAAGAGGAGAAACTTTTTTGTTTTTGACTGTATCGAAAAATAAAAAGTTCCGCCCCTCGTTAAAATGAGACTGTCATACAAACATCTTAGATTAGATATACAGGGTGCTCATAAATTAAAAAAAAAACAAGAAAATACTCAAAAGAGAAGTACCATTATTTATTATTTTACACAACATTTTAATAAAACAAATCTGTTTATAACCTCAAATAATGTCCCAATACAAATTTTAAAATAAAAATTTCTATTTTGACTTTTACTCTATATGTATAGCTACTTCCCACCTCAAAAATTAAAATTTTGATTTTAAAATTTGTATTAAGACATTATTTGAGGTTATAAACAGATTGGTTCTATAAAAATGTTGTGTAAAATAATAAATAATGGTACTTCTATCTTGAGTATTTTCGTGTTTTTTCAATTTATGAGCACCCTTTACATCTAATCTAAGATGTTTGTATGAGTCTCATTTTATCGAGGGGCAGAACATAAAGTGACATTTTTCGATACAGTCAAAAACAAAAGAGTTTCTCCTCTTGTCAACTCCATCCGTGGACACACTGTATATATACATTATTAATAAACTTTATTGTACTTAAATTCTCAAGTTTTTACTAAAATATTTTATTAAAAAAGTAAAAATAATCAAAAATTCTTATTATTAACGATTTTTTGCCCAAAATTTTCCTTTAAGATTTTTTAAATACGCCATTTCGATGGGAAATTCAATTCTCTACAATATTTTTCCTATAAACTATACCGAAATTTTGCTTCGTTTTCATGCTATATTTAAAAAACTGCAAAAGTGCATTTTCACCCCCATCTTCAATTTCAACCCTCTAATTTGAATAATGTGATGAAAATCCTTGAACGTCTTATTTCATTTTTGCAAAAAATGAGAATTAAAACGTATAAGGGTAAACGCGACGAAAATAGAAAAACTGGTTAATTGTAAGTTTGAGCGACCATATATCAGTCAATTTTCATCCAAAAATACTTTACAACCTCTTACTTTGAAGGAAATTTTATCTACTTTTTTTATGAAGCAATACCTATACTCAAAAAAAAACTAGAGGCAAAAAAGTAAAAAAAAAATAAAAAATCGAATTTTTTGCTTTTTTCAAATTATTTATTAACGATTATTTTGCATAAAATTTTCCTTTTCAATTTTTTAAATGAGCCATGTCGATGGGAAATTCAATTCTTTAAATAATTTTTCCTATGAACTATAGCGAAATTTTGCTTTGTTTTCGAACTACAATTAAAAAACTGAAAGGGGTGCATTTTCACCCCTGCCTCCAATTTCCACCCTGTAATTTAATGGCACTCCGCGGTTTTTTCATCTAAAATGACCCTTTTATGCAATAAAATTGCTTGAACGTCATAGTTCCTTTTAACCCTGTTTTTTTGGATATAATCAATAGCCTATAGTGACAATGGAACTCCATCTAAATCATCCTGAAACAATAATTCAATAACCTTAAAAATTTCCGCATCAAAAGACAACAAAATCAATGATATAATTTGTGTAAAAGTAATGAAACTGCCTACAAAAAATTCAATTCCACTTTCCATTAAAACAACTCTATATTTTTAGACATAAGCATTTATCCGCAGATAGGATGGGTGATTCAAAGGTAACCGAGTAGAAGAAATTTATGGAAAATGGAAAAGCAAGCGCGATGCGTTGTTTCAGGGGTATGAATGGGGGTAAGCTTTTCGACTCCCCGGGGGAAATTTTATACGTTCTTTGGTTCTGTATTACACATTTTCTTAGGAATTAAACATTAAACGTTCCAGGTCCGCGGTTTTACGGTCGCTTTAATTATTCCGAGGCGGTTTTTTGGACGTCTCCCAATATGCAAATTCGTAAAAGCCCGTTTATATTTCGCGTTCTCGATCGGAATTCTAAAAACTTTATATGAGGCCCACTGGCGTCTCGTGGATCTAGAAATAGGGAAGTCAATTTAAACA